TATCTGATTTACACAATTATCGAATTTTAGAAAATATCTGCTTTTTATTTTGCTAAATCTGGATTAAAGTTCAAAAAAAATAAGATGAAGATAATTTTTAGCTTACCGATATAGCAAGTAAACAACAACTGTAAAGAGAATAATTTCTGAGTTAAAAATAACCTTAAAAATGTTTGAGATGAAAAAAGCGACTAGAGCTTCAAGAAATGCTTAATTACACAATCAGAGAGAAATTAAATTAGACACGTGGAAGAGTGCTTTTTTACGTTTTAATTCAGATTTACATTAATTAGATAAACAATGAATGAACCGTCATAAATACCGCAGTAGAGTCGGTAATCATTTGGGCTGAGAGCTCACTTACCTTCTCCAAGGACTCTATCCATGGTCCACTGATGATGCCTTAGATGTTCAGGCATGTGACTCTCATCAATTCTAGCACTTGTGACCTCAATATTAAATCTGAAGTAAGCGGAATTTGCATATTCGTCTGATCCAGAAGCGTATGAGTTTCCATTTGAAGAGCTGTTGGGAATCATTGGTCTGTCCCTAATCTCTTTGGAATAATTCATTAAATGAAGCCTGAAACAAACATACTTTTTATGATCCTTTCCTCCTTTTCACAGATAAAAATAGCTTATTATTACACAGTAAAGTTTAACAAATCAAATTATTTCAGACTTACGAAATTCCTACAGTGACATGCCAACTGGACAAAAACAGTAATAAATACCAAAAGCGAGAAACCGAACAGTTTAACTGACAAAAAATGCCTGCGAACACGAATAAATAACAAGTGCAATCTTATGGCTGTTATTTTGTAAAGAGCAGTTCTCGAGCTGCGAACCCGTCTCTCTCTCATAAAGAGTTACCGGAGTTTAATAATTTACCTGTCTCCTCAAAACCTGCCCAAACCGTTTGTGTAACTAAGCGTTTTCCCTATTCTGTAATTTAAATCAGCGAGGACAGAGAGGTGGACCTTCTGTTTTGCAATAATTTTGGGGGAAAAATGATGGAAATTTGATGGGAAAATAAATAGTAAGCAAGAACAATAATCTGGCAGGGAATGGTATTCTTAAATATGCGAAGTTACCTCGAAAAGGCAGTCGCTCTACTAATCGCAAAAGTTCACTACAATATACACGCATTTCCAGCACTCATACACTAATAAGACTGAAACCTACAAGATGAGTGAATAAAAAATAACAAGAAAAAAGTTTCAATACGACACAGGTAAAAATTTCAGACACTTTGTAATATCCGCAAGCATTCATTCCAACAAAAGGTTACTGAGGCAAGCAACATTAAGGCAGTACTGAGTGCATAATAAATATTGGTGACCACACGATGAATGACCGGAAATTTGGCATGTATCCAGATGTTTTTATTGACCCTCAGCAGTCTGTTTGGCGTCTGCGCATCTTTCTTTTCTAGCAAAGGTCATATATAAATATGTCTAGCCAACTGACCAAGCTCCTCCCAATCAATAAATTGGTCTTAACACTCTTGCTGTCCATTCGTAATGTTTTCAGGAAATTGTAGTGAAAACATATAGAGATAATGCAACTCCAAAGATTGTTTGCTCTCTCCTTCTACTATTACTGCTCCAATTATATCCCCACTATGAGTGCGGCTCGGCAGCTCCAGTGATGCTGTGTG